GTAAGGTTTCACAAAATAAAACAGAGCAAATAAAGTGTAATGATATTAATAAAAACATTATTCTTCCGCCAAACAATGTAGTTCCTCAGAAACGGTTGTGGTTCCAACGAAGTGGTTGCCAAGCAACACACAAATGTAAACAAAGGTGTTTCGAACTTGGCTCGAACTTGGCTTCGAACTTGGCTCAACCAATCAGAATCAAGGACCGGAACTATCCGTTTTATCATGCTCAGTTTTCTCTGTCTGTTTTCTTACACATCCTCACTCAGCACAGAGCGTTGCAGCGCTGTCTTTCATGCTTATCTGTAGGCGTATAGCTGTTCTCCACCAGCCGAATATTCACACCGAAATGCTTTATGGACACTTTGCACTTCTGCCCTGTCAGCATCAGATTACCCTGCGCAGCATCAGCCGAGGGGGATTTATTAAATAATTTTTATCATTTTGGAATACTCCATCAAAATGATGCTCTGATAAATCAAGCTGCCGCCACCCTCTAATTGCCGCCCTCCCTCTCCCCCTCTCTGATATCAGTCCAGCGTGACACACCTTGAAAAGTAATGATACAATTTCTCTTTTTTTCCTCTCGGCCCGCATGATGCATCATCTACGTTCCTGCCAAGCTGCGAGCAGACCCACCCTCAGTCACATCCATCACTCTCCATCACAAGTGAATCATCTCTCTGAGCTCGGTCTCAATTACAGGGCTCAGGACACCCTTTCCTACAGGCTGGGAAGAGTTTGATGCATTCGCAAACCTGCTGTGAGCCAAGAGAAAATGGGGGATGGAGGCCAATGGGAAGTGAAATGCTAATTGGTGCTGGTGCAGGCCGAAGAGGGAGTAGATGTTCATGGTCTCTGTTTATGGAGGAACTCAAACCCTGAGTTCTCCTCACTTCCCATTAATGTTCCCTGTGTGCTGTTAATGAGACTCATTTGACTGGTTAATAACCCAGAATGACTTGTAGATCTGGAAGTCTACTGGAGTCAAATGGTTGGATTTTTTTACAAAATATTTTTGATATCTTTACTTTTACACTGTGCAAAATCAGGGAACTGTTAAATTCATCTGCTTAATTATTTTTATTCTAAATTAATTATATACGTTTTGTTTATATTATTTCATTAATTATCTCATTTTAGATGACTTGAAATAAAATAAAAAAATCTGTGATATCACTGCTTAAAAAGAAATAGGTATTTCTAATTAATTTAGATATGATGTGGCAACTTAAGTATATAAAATAATGTATTTAATAAAATATATAATATAAATATATTATCTGCTAATTAAACATGTCATATATATATATATATATATATATATATATATATATATATAATTTTATTTTAATTTATTTATTTATATTT